ATTACTTCTCCTAGAGAGTAAATTTCATTTATGATAGCAATGAATATAGTGTGCATCTCTTGAATAGTTTCTCCTTCCATCATTCTGAACAGTTGGTATTGTCTATTCAGATTGTCAATCTTTGATTTCTTAACCTAAGTTGTTCCTTCATGTGCAATCTGCAAGGTTTCCCAGATTGACTTGACATCTTGACAAGAAGAGATCTTGTTATATTCGTCTGGTCCTATGCCACAAATTAGACTTTTCTTAGATTTTGCATTATTTTGAATTGCCAGTTTATCTGCGGTATCCCACTCCTGTCTCTCTTTTTGTACCATTGTTTCTCCATCAGATCCCTTTTTCATAGGAATAGTAGGACCATCTAAGACTACGCTCCAAAGATCAGGATTTTCTCCTATTAGATGATCCATCATGCGATTTTTCCACCATCCATAGTATTTTCCATTGAACAGTGGGGGTCGAGTTTGAGAAGCTCCTTCTTGGGGGGTAGGTGGTGCTGCCATTTACTTTTCAAGCTGTTAATCTTTTGGTGAAAAGATCCTGCTCTGGTACCAATTGAATAAGCCTTACCCCGAAATCAAAAACCAGGTTCTTGACTGTTTGCCTAAGAAAATAGTTAATGAAAACAATATACTTTAATTAAAACCTCCTATTTCAAGGAAGGAAAAACTCAACTTCGTTTTATTACTTTTTCTTACTCAGTTACAATTTTCGATTTAACTCTAATCGAATTCTGTAAATTTACAAAAAGTCAAACCCACTTTTTGCAAACTTACTCACTAATCTCCTCTCTCCACAATAAGCCAAAACCACTTCTTGTTTACAATCACACAAAATCTTACTAAGAACAAAGCTCACAAGTTAACAAAACACACAGAACTCACAAAAACGCTCTTTGCTGCCCCGCTCTTCGTCTCTCCTCACACCTTTTTCGATTGGAAAGAACTGCTTTCTTTGTCTTGAAATCTCTGTTTATATAGACTTTTGAACAAGAATTTTTTTCTCTATTTGAAGTTGATAATGATTCTAATTTCTGTATCCTTCTTTGATATGAAAAAAGAATTGCTTTCTTTTTTCTGTTTGTATGCAACCTTGTTTCAGAAAAGGTTTTGTCTTCAAAAGTAGGCAACCTTTTCAGAAAAGGTTTTGTCTTATTCATTTATGGAAATAATTATCATATTGATTTATTTTTTTCATAAATACAATTGTGCCTTAATATTTGTCCTTCACCTCTTTTCAATTAGAACGACGACTGATTTAATAATGAACCTGGTTCATAAGTGAGTCAACATCAAAAGTATTTGTCATCAATAATGAACCTGGTTCATAATTGATGACATCAAAAGTATTTTTTATTATCAAAAGTTATTTACACAACTTCCATCAGATTTGAAGAAGATGTGACAATTTTAATTTTCAAGAATGTATTTTTAATTAATCAATTAGTGTAATGAGATTAAGAAAATAAAAAGGTGAATAAACAAAACAAACATAAAAATTAATGGCATGGCTCTAACCTGGTGCTTACATGGCTACGATGTGGCATGTGAGAGTGGTATTCTACTCTCAGAGTTGTATTTAATACAGTTCAAAGATGTTAAGAGGGGGGGGGGGATTTAGACGTGTATATAGTTAAGTACTAATGTAAATTTTGTTGCTAAGTTCAGGCGAATTTGATGTATTTTCCCTAATTAGTTTGATGAAAACTTCAACTACTCAGGTTCCTCTCTAAAAATAAAATCCTAGATTTGATTCCAAAGCTCCACAAAATGAACACCTCCCTTCAACTAATAAGAAATATATCTTTTGACTAACTTTTATTCACTCTATATTTTCTTCTATGAACCAAACCAAATGAAGACCACTACTATTTATAGTTGAGAAAGTCTTCCTAACAATGACTAAGTAGATAATGGGGTAGTAAATACAAAAGATAATTAGCCTAAGAGCATTGGCTAAGCCAAAATTTTCAATAAGGGAGTTCAAGATTTGTAGAAATAGACACACGAAGTAGTCTAAAGGGTTCAACATCTACTATATACATAAAAAATTATTTCGATCGTATATAAATAATATAATTTTCCACCAAAGGGTGTTCAATAAACTCCCTTAGTACAAGGTGGCTCCGCCTCTGCTTAGGAGTTACATAGGTTACAAAAATTAATTGAGGAATAAAGAATTAGATAGTGGAGAAATAAGAAGTAATGGCCAAGATGCCACTACTGATGCCGCAAGAAAAGGGTCATAACATCAACACTTACTTCGAATGCTGTAATGCTCTAAATAAATGTCCAACGTTTAAGACAAAAGAATTATCACCAACGGACAACTTATAACAAAAGTAACACTTGACTCCAAAGTTTTAAGCAAATTAATATACAAAAAATATTAATATCCAAATGCTGACCAACACAAAGAAGATTTGGAGATTTCCTATTGGTATAACAAAGGATACAATTGGATAAAGATGTTTGATCATTAGTTGTGACTTAAATAAGGTAACCTCTTAAAGTGAATGTGCTACAGTTACTAGTCTAAAAAAAATAAAATTTAATGAGCTTTGTTTCAATTGTTTTCCTTTTTTATGTATTCACTTTGACCAATATTGTTGTTTTACCAAAGGGTGTGTCCTAATGACTAATAAAGATGGTAGATACCTTAGAGATCAAGGTTTAAATTCCAAGATGGAAAAAGCTAGGTGATCTCTTCCAATTTGCCTATGCCTTGGTGTCAGGGGCGGAGCTATAAGTAAGGGTGGGGGTGCCACAACACCCAGTGAATTAGGTTGAAACTTCGTATATATATATATATATGTGTGTGTGTGTATGTGTATATATATATAATATATACTGATATATACAAAATTTGCCACTCCCTGTAACAAGTAGAAGTATGGCTCCAGCGGCAAGAGATCAAGTTTACCCTCATTTTTGCGGGTTCGACCCTAGAATGGCGCAAATTTTATTTTTATATAAAATCTCATGCTACATTTTTCATATCTTTTGCCAAGAGAAAAGTAATAAACTTAATTTTTGTCGTAATTTTTAGTGATTTTTCTCTTTCTTTTCTATTTCATTCATAATATATTATGTATTTCCTTTCTTTGAAATTTATGTGACACGCCTTCTTTTTAGTCTATTCTCAAAAACGTTATCTTTTTATTAATAAAAATATTTAGCTTTAAACTATTGTTTTTACCTTAATGAATAATTTATAATCAAACAAGTTTTTAAAATTTATTTTTAGACGATAAAGTTCGAAGATTGTAATTAGGATGACAGAGTAGTATTTTCCTTTTTTAACTAATTCTTTCTAGCTCCTTTTTTCGTCCAAATTCCATAAACTTGATAATAAGAGAAACGAGTTTCTCTTACTCTTTTTTTTATTATTTAAATCATTTGGATGCAAATATAAAAATAATTTGGATTATGATAATTTTAATCCTTTTTAGGTTTTAATTTGTAAATAAAATACATATTTATAATGAATGATAACATAAAAATCATACAAAAATTACATTTCATTTTTGTTTGGCTTTTTAGATTGTCACTTGGTGTGAGCCAATATGTTTGTTACCTAGAACTTGACGTATTTATATATATAAATAATTATAACATCGGGAAGTATTTTTAGAATAAAAAAACTTATTGAGTGCAATTATAAATGAATGAAAGGATTATTTATGCAAATTATCATAGTTTTTTTTTTTTGATTTATTTATCGTCATAGGCTGAAAGGATGAATAATTGAACAATTTCGTCCCTAGTCTCTATTTAAAAGTCCAAAACTAGGTTAATATTTGATTGATTTAATGAACATAACGATATGACACCCGTAATCTCCAAATTCTGGATCCGCCTCTGCTTGGTGTATGTTGAGTTATTTGGTGCCTGTGTAAATTAGGGAGGTGCATCAGTTGGTTTGATTTGGTTTTATGTATTATCCATTCAATTTATTGGTTTCAATTGTTAAATATGCTAACTCAATAACAAATTAATAAGATATTTTTATCCATTTTTTTTGTTATTGGTTCGGTTTTCGGTTTATCCAATAAGAAAATGTTCTTAAAAAGATTATATGACTTCTTACTTCTGTAAATGTTTTGATATAGTGAAACAAGAAAGATAATGAGAGATTGCATCAATAAGAGAAAGTATAGTGTGATGGCTATAGTTACATTTCACCGCCAAAACATAGTATGAAATTTCTGATGTTAATCACATTATAGACTTTTACAAACATGTGAATGCTACAACTATTAATCTTGAGATTTTGAATATGGCAAAATTGAGTTGAACAGGTAGTGCAACATGTTCTTGTGAAATATTGCAGCAGGTATGCAAGTGGCGACATACGTGTTATATATGGAAACTTATATGTACGTTTTTGTTTATAGTAGTTTACATGGTTAAGGAAAACTATTAAAAACAAATTTGAGTACAATAAAGTTTCGAGAAAAAGAGTTAGTAGAAGTCAACAAGGATTTGTAGAAGACAAATACAAAGTTGATTTGTACAAGGATTGGTTGAATTTCTGGTCTATAAATAGAGAGCTATTTTGATCAGAAAAACTTGCGCACCTACAAAGAGAGAACTTCAAAACACGATCAAGAGGGTTGAGAGAGTTTTGTTAAAATCTTTTGAGTGCTGCGAGTTGAGTATTAAAGTTGTACGATTGTATTCAAGAGTTTGTTTACAATCTAGGTAGTAGATTTGCTTGACAAGTTAGAGTACTTGAAAAGCATTGAAAACTAGGAAGTAGTTTTTTGTATTGATTAGAAGGAGTTAGAGTTTATAATACCTTAAGAGCTAAAGAGTTGTAATCTTTGTATTACTTGAAATTTACAATTAATACAAAGTGCTGTTCAAATTAATTACTGTTCAACAAAAACAAGTAGTAAATACGTGTTCCTTTGAAGAATTCAGGAGGGTAGAATTCCAACAAGTGGTATCAGAGCAAGGTTATCTTTAGAGAGTCTAACAACTCAAGATAAGATCAACATGAGTTCTGCACCTCCACTCGGACACGGTAAGGGGCAATACATCAACAGACCTCCACTATTTAATGGACAATACTACTCGTGGTGGAAGGCAAGGATGGAAGACTTCATTCAAGCTGAAGACTACGAATTATGGGTAAGAATTACCAAGGGACCACTAATTCCTACCACCACTGATAGTGAAGGAAATAAAATACCTAAACCCGCAGATACATATAATGAAGCAGATTATAAGATGCTAGGAAAAAATGCAAAGGCTAAGTGTATTCTTGTGTGTGGATTAGGACCAGATGAATTTAACCGTATCTCAAGTTGTACCTCTGCTAAACAAATATGGGATACTTTACAAAACGCTCATGAAGGTACAACTCAAGTCCGAAAATTCAGGATTGCTAGTTTGTGTTCAGAATATGAAGCCTTTAAGATGAAATGCGGAGAATCTCTTCAAGATATGATCACCAGATTCACCACTATGGTAAACGAACTAATCTCATTAGGCAAAGTGTATACCACTGAGGAACAGGTTGACAAAGTACTTAGGATTTTGCCTAGGTCTTGGGAAATCAAAGTCACTGCCATTAGAGAAGCTAAGGACCTAACTACTATGTCTTTGGATGAATTAGTTGGAAATCTCAAGACCTATGAGATGAATGTAGACAAAAGAGGTGAAGGGAATAAAGAAAAAGTTCTTGGTCTTAAAGCAACTAAAAGTGATGAATCAGACATAGATGACGATGATCTAGCTTTGATAAGTAGGAATTTCAAGAAACTCTTTAAAAGGGGATTAAACTCTACCAAAAAATCACCACCCTTGAAAGAAAAAAATTCTGAACGATCACAAAATGGAGGTTGTTTTAAGTGTGGTAAGACAGATCATCAAATAAAGGACTGCCCAATGTGGGAATTAGAATGGAAAAAGGAAAAAGCAGAAAAAGAAAGGAATGAACTCCTCAACAAAAAGAAAAACAAAGAAAAGGAACAAGCAATGTATGCAGCCTGGGGAACAGGTTCCTCGGACATGTATGAAGATATTGAAGACCTTGCCTTGATGGCGATAGAAGAATCAAACGCTGAACTTGAATCAGATTCTGAAGAAACTGAGGTAAACTTTCTCAATCTAAAAGATAATCTAGCAAAGTTCTCAAAGAAAAAGCTTTCACTCCTATTGCTTACATCCATAGACACAATTCAAGAACTTGTGAACACCAAGAGCCAACTACTTGCTTCCCTATCTAGCTTAAAGTTTGAGCATATTGATCTCAATAAGAACAAACTCGACCTACAAGATAAAATCAAGCAACTTGAAACCCAAAATCTGGAACTAAGAACTAAAAATTCAAAATTAAAAGTTCTTGGCAAAGGAAAAGAAGGTGAGCTGCCTGACCAAAAGCTTGAGGTTGACAAATTCAAAAACACTTTAAAGCTAGAAAAAGAAAACTGTAAAAGGATAAATCTTGAATTGACTAGAGTAAGAAGTGATCTGGAAAGAGCAAACAAATGGACAAAATCCTCTATGATAGTAACTCATCTAGGGAACAACAATAGGAACATCAAAACCGGAATAGGATATGAACAACCCATAAATGGAAATCCTACGTTTTGTATTGTTTGTGGTAACTCTGGTCATTCTAAACAATATTGTCCCAAATACAAAATGACCACTGAAGAAGACAACCCAACAAGAACCTATATAACTGTTCAGAGGAACAGGTACATACCCAGAAAAAACAGTCTGCCCAACTGGGCTCGTAGAAATCTGATTCACCCTTTTGATCAAAACAAAGAACCCAAGCTAATCTTGGTTCCTAAATCCAACCTCTAATTTTTCAGGAAGAAGTGAGAGAAAGCAAGCAGCAGTGGTACATGGACAGTGCTTGCTCAAGACACATGACAGGGAATAAGACATTGTTTCTCTCACTAGAAGAAGGAAAAGGAGGTATGGTTGCTTTTGGTGGTGGAAAAAAGGGGTCAAATCAAAGGTTGTGGGAAGATTGGAAAAACTGATGAACATTCAATTGATAAAGTATACTATTGGAAGGACTTAGACACAATTTACTCAGCATATCTCAGTTGTGTGATAAAGGTAACAAGGTAATCTTTCGATCCACTGGTGTTGAAGTAATCAATCTAAACACACAAAAATTAGTGTTAACAGGAAAAAGAGATAAACATGTCTACACTATAGAAACCTCAACTATCTCTGACACAAATCTAGTGTGTTTAAGTGTGTTCGAAAAAGATCCCTTGTTATGGCATAAACGGTTGGGTCATGCTAGCCAAGTTCAATTAAACAAACTTATCACCAAGGATTTAGTTATAAGACTGCCTAAAAACAAATTCAAAGAGGATAAGGTTTGTGAAGCATGTACTCTAGGGAAACAGATAAAATCATCATTTAAGTCCAAACAGATGGTAAGCTCAACTTGTTCCTTAGAACTAATTCACATGGACTTATGTGGACCAATGAGGGTTCAAAGTAGAGGGGGAAAAAGATATGTGTTTGTCTTAGTGGATGATTACACTAGGTATACCTGGACACTATTCCTTGCGTCAAAAGATGATGCGTTTGAAGTTTTTTGTTCACTAATGAGAAAAATTCAAAGAAAATATGGGAAACAATTAAAGGCAATCAGATCAGATCATGGAACTGAATTTGAAAATTCAAAGTTTGCACAATATTGTGACCATCATGGGGTTGATCATAACTTCTCTGCCCCTAGAACACCTCAACAAAACGGTGTGGTGGAGAGAAAGAACAGAACTCTTCATGAAATGGCTAGAACTATGATGATCGCAAGCAAAATTGCAAACCAATTCTGGGCAGAAGCAATAAACACTGCTTGCTACACCATAAATCGTTGCATGACCAGACCCTTGTTAGAAAAAACTCCATATGAATTATTGAAAGGGAGAAAGCCCAACATCTCTCATTTTAGAGTGTTTGGATGCTAGTGCTTCATTCATAACAATGGAAAAAACCTGCTTGGAAAATTTGATGCTAGAAGTCACAATGGAATTTTTCTTGGATATTCCACACATAGTAAAGCCTATAGGGTACTCAACAAAAGAACTATGTGTGTCGAAGAGAGTGTTCATGTTTTTTTCGATGAAAGCAGCACTATGTCAAATGAAGATGTGTTGTTCAGTAACACATCAGCTGAAGAACATGCTGTCTCTGAACAGGAACAAGTCCAAGAAACTGGTTCCTCTGACACAACAAACAGAGAAGAAACTGAAACTCAAGTGAATTTTGATGAAAGAGTTGATACAGATGAAAATCAATCAGATGTTAATGAAGAACAAGAAAGATCAACTCCTATCCTAAAAGAGTACAAATACCAAGGATCACACCCATTGGAAAACCTGCTCA